TCCTACTCTACTCATTTCTGGAATAATCTTAGATGTCCATCTCGAAGGACAAACTTGAATGAATTTTTCTGTTGACGGACTGAATTAGTCTCTACAATAAAACTGTACCTATTTCCCATTTGAAGACGGTTTTACCACGATTTACTTAAATGTGTACCTACCTAGATTAACGTAAAACGAAACGTATATATTACATGTCGCATACGCAGCGGCAAACGTATTTAATAAGCATGTAGATGTGTGTTACGTGCATTGTGAGGTGTGGTAAAACTGTTATTACACCTTTCAAGCAAATCAGATAAGTGGTGTTATTTTCCATTTCGCATTTAGAAGGACCTTGAGTGTATGGAACGAAAAGCAAACGTTGCGATCAAAAACGAAACAAACTGTTGCACTTCCTTTTTAAACTGCAAAATGCAAAACCTAACATTAATACGACAACTGCCCCTATGCAGTAAACAGATAAAGATACGTGTGTTATCCAAGGATTGAAAATAAATAATAATATAATAGGACGTAAAATTATCCTTTCAAATGACAAAAGTGGAAAAAACAAGACATACCATAGAAATTTAACGATAAAAGAATAATTATTGTTTGTATACATCTGTAACAGAAACAAGTACCAAACTTGCAGAATAGAGCACTTTAAAACATGAAAATTAAGTAAATGATTGTATGTCCCAATGTTCACGGTTTTCGTGAAAAACGTAGTTGTAAATTCAATTCCGGCCCTGGTTCATAAATACGGTTCGCAACGTTACACTCAATCAGCATCAGTGTAATATTTAGTTTTAATTTTTTTGCTCATGTATTTTTAGTTCTTCCATTAATTGTTATTATCTATTATCTATCATTATTATCATCACTTTTCGTGCTTGCCCGAGAGACTGACGCCACATTCTGTTTACATTACAGAAAATTAGATGGATAAGTAATGTAATGAAAAGAGGTTGTTGATATTGTTTTCGTCGGGGAGTAATAAGAGATCGTCAACAAACATAATAAAGTAACGTTTGGGTGGTGTTTTAGTTAAATTGAACCAAGCAACGGACGGTCGATAATCAGCCGGAAAGAACTGATCTACGTTGAAATTACAATAACATTTCATTAAAGGCTAATAGCACATTTCACTTAGGAGACGAAGAGCGTCGCGTTCTCTATATTAGCCAAACGATATCCGATACGAGAACGACAGAGGCATTTCAATTGGAGAAGACTGATAAAATTGTTATAGGAATACGGATATATGTTCCCTTAATGTTAGCGAATTCTTATTCTGAAATGAACTGACATGAGTTGTAATAAAGGACCATAGAACCAACTCATTGTAAAAAAAGATCGCAAAAAGTCAAGTTTCGATTTATTAGATACTTATATAATAACAACTCTATTAAAGAAATAAGTGTAATCGTTAATGTTACCATAGCAGGCATTAAGAACCNAGTCATAATAAACGAATTCCACTGTACGTATTGAAGGGTTTGAATCATATCGCTGCTGTAGGGACAAAACCTCTTTTTCAAAGATAATACCACCACCAAAATAGTACTCGCAAAATAGCACATAACGTTGGCTTGTCTCACAATCAGTGTGACATTTTTTTTAAGGAACAGCTGCTGCATCCTTATCATTTGTAGCGAGTACAAACCATACTTGAAACTGATTTTCAGCAGCGAATTTATTTACAGACAAATATGCTTCACGTGAGATGGAATTTTAAATAATAATAATCACTATTGATGCGACACAAATTCGCATGATTTCGTACATTTACGTAGTGCTGCCTGTAACGAACTTATTTAATTTATTTAGTCTAAACATTATGAGTAGTAATAATTTGTTTATTTGTCGAAGATGCTCGATAAAATGCTTATAATCTCGGTCTATATAGTACTACGTTATTTGGCAGGCACCTACATTGAAAAATTCTCGTACAGGACCGACTTCACATTGTAAATTGTTGTAATTTTCTTAAAAAAAAAACTGTTTGCCCTTAACCATGCTGCTGAACTCACCCTGCGATTATTTATTGCATTTAGTTTACACCTTCCAAAGCTCGGCACCTATTTCTGTTACACCCTGTATACTTGCCTACCGAAGCAATAATAAAAAATACCGCTAACGATTACGTTAAAAAGTAAACAAAAAAAAATACGATGTGATGTAAGAGACGTCTAAAAAGCATAAATTTTGTTTCGATTGCGACTTAAAATTGAAAATCCAGATGTTTTCGAACCCTAAATTAACTGCGGCAAACGGCGTATTCAGCGGTTTGGACATTTCGCATAAAATAATGATAAAATATGACCGGCATAATCGATCGCTTTGGGCAGTAACGGTAATTTGCGACAATCATACACAGTTAGTTTTAATTTACGACGCGATTTCGGGAATTTAAAGTAAAGTCTTTACGCCAATAAAACAAAAACCATGCATATAATAATGTACGATATTTATTATTATTATTATTATGCTGATCCACGTTTGGTAGTTTCGATAAATTACTGATCAAGAGCTTAATCCGTTCTTATTAATTTAGTTTAGGAACGTGTATTTTGCGTATGTACAGGGTGTTCCACCTAAGGCGGTTTTGTCCTTTGCCCTGTTATTATACATTTAATAAAAAAAATGTTTTTACAAAAATGTTCTGGAATCCTATGATGCATATACTTTCAGGTCATACAGGGTGTTCAATTTCTTCTGGACGCTACCTTAAAACTCAACATAGACCCACTTTTATTATTAATTTTACTTATTATATGCGTAAGATAGTTTCAATGTTGACTGTTCTACCCTTAAACGGTAAAAGAAAAATATCCGATTTCGTTGATGGAGAATATTTTAAGCTATTTGTGCAATTTTAATATCGGTTTATTAGTAATTAATTTTGACTTGAGTATACCAGAAAGAACTATCATTCATAAATTTTTATTTGGTAAAGGTCTAGATGATGGCCCCCACCCCCTTCGGGGGTGGGGATAGGGAGATTCGAAAGAGGAGGTCTCCCCCACCACTGTACCATAAAAAGTTCGTGACGGTCTCACCACATAAAAAATTATAGGGGTTCAAAGTTAATAAATATGCCAATTTTTATACATTTCTAGGCATGTAAATATTTATATAATCATTCTTAAACAATATTCAAAGGTAAAACTAATGAAAAATACATAAAAATATTGAGAAAGTTATATAAAACATTATTTAAATATCTTTATCAATAGGGTAGGTTAGGTTAGGTTATCGGGTTTTGTTCAAGTGACCACCCTCTTTCGATCCCCCACCTCCACCCGCTTGAAAATATTTTTTTTATTGAATTTTATTTGAATTATAGTGTATGAAAATTGTCAAAATAATCAACTTTCAACCCCCATAACTTTGTATGGGGGTGAGACCGCCGCAAAGATTTTATGGGGCTTTATTCAGATGACCACCGTCTTTCGATCCCCCTATCCCCATCTAACCTCCATAACTTTTTATGAGGGTGAGACCGCCACGAACTTTTTATGGTACAGTGGTGGGGGAGACCTCCTCTTTCGATCCCACCCACTCCCACCCCCTTCGGGGGTGGGGGCCATCATCTAGACATTTACCTTTTATTTCTCTCACAACTTAAAAATATAACAGTTCGAATGAAAAAATAAATTGTCGCTATTATTTTGTGCTTTTTATACAAAAACTCTATAAAATGCACCATTTAAAGTGTTATGAAAATAAGAACATCTAAAATTACCTAGACATCATTCCAAATAAGTGCCAACATAATTATGTAAGCTCTACTTACGGTATAAAATGAGTAAGTATTAACGTTCAGTTTCTATTACAAGAAGATTTATTTGACACCGAGTTTAATTAAGTTTGGTTTTTAATCAGAAAGTGTCCCGTTTAATAAGTGGATGTTATTATTATCGTTTATTCAATCTGCCAACTTAGCAATGAATCTGTTATTAAACTAGATGCACACGCTTCTTAAGACCTGTTTGGTCATAAAATAATTACAAGATTGCGACAAAATAGCACTTACAGCATTATTACTAAAACAAAACAAAAAAACAAAAACCAACCGAGGCTCTTCATCCCAACACTTTGAGCCTTTTCTGCGAAACGATTATTATCTTTATCATATATCGATATCAGAAGCATTGGAAAAATGAACAAAATTAACCAACTGACTTAAAAAGATATTAAAAAGTAATTTGTAGTAAAATATGAAATATGTATGACATAATATGTGTATATAAGTAATTGAAAATATTTTATTATTTACAAACTATATCTGAAAAATTACAACTACAATGGGAAAATTTTAAATGAAATACAGTGGATTTCGGGCATAACGATAACTGTAATTTCGTCGTTATATCCAGAAGTCGTCACAGGCAAACTTAATGAAGATATAGACACAAACTGTTTTTCAATTTTGAAACAATTTTCGCCTTTTTTAAACAGTAAATGTACATCTGGAAGTCATACTTATTCAAAAGTTTACTAAACACAGTTGCTACCCAGAAACAACGGTACAGGTCACCACACTTGTTGACTATTTCTGTGAATGTAAACGAAAGGTAAGAAAGCTCTTTGTGTCTTTAGCGGCCGACTTCGGTCGCTATATCTGCATGGGATTATTAGCGATTTCTTACAAATGATTCATTAAAAACAATCGCTACACCCGAACTCGGCGTTACAACCGAAGTCGCTATAGCCACAAGAATTTTGTACTAAAGTATGCTTTAAATTCAAGGGACTTACATATAACGTCGCTATAGCACAATGGCCGCTATAACCAAGGTCGTAATAAATGAAATCCACTGTACATATATTTTAGTATTCAAAAAAGTAAATTGTAGAATAAAACGTACATAAAAGATACCCTTTGGTACTACTCTACATATTCTATAGCATTTTATACGCTTTCTATAGTATTAGTTAAAAATCCTTCATTTGTTGATATAGATTATGCATATAGAAGAGAACTTTTAAATATTTAAAAAAAGACTTACCATTAATTTCCTCTGATAACTTACAGCAGCCATTAGGAAGGATTTCTGAAAAAAACAAAAGAAAAACGTTTTAATTTTAAACGATCCCGAGCGAAGAGAACGGAATTAGGCAGGTTGCTGATCTCGCAGGATAAGTACAACTACGCCTGCTCCTGACAGAGCATTATTCTGCGCCTTTCAGCCTTCTTTAAATGCACGACGAAAACAAGCAAAAAAATACAGCAGCTCCCGACCCTTCTGCTACTAATTGAAACAGTAGAAGTGGCCTTTACACTTGCAGCTGTTAATGGGACCACTTAATAACGTCAGAGCAACTGCCAAGCGACTTTATTTTTAATTAAATTCCTAATTAAAACAAAAAAGGTCGCAAATTTTTAAATTCCTAACAAACGCGTAACTTTCACTTGGGGGTTTCGAAAGGCAAAACATGTTCAAAAGACAAACACTTATAACAAATAAACGATGCAAATCGTAAAACAAGAAATACAAAACGATCCAGCCTAAGATTTATTTACATAAATAGATATTGGACACTCTTTCTTACTTTTTTTAATTTAAGCTAATTTCGCATTTCCTTAAAACTAGAACATCCCACATCCTTAACTATTTGTGAACAGTAATCTAATATATCTCAAACTAGCTCTTCATGCCTATCGAGCGGCATGGCCTAGAGGTTTAGACCATTGCTTAGCATTCGGGAGGACGCCGGTTCGATTCCGGGTCCGTCTGCCTTGGTCCAAGTTTTTCTGTGGTTTCCTTGAATCACTTAGGCAAATGCTGAGGCAGTAATATTCCACAGATAATCTTTCA